GGAGCTGGTGATCTCGGTGCTGGATGCAAACGACAACGCGCCCGAGTTCAATCACTCGATCTATAAAGTGCATTTGTCCGAAGACGCCTCCGACGGGGCGCTGGTTGTGCGCGTGAGTGCTACGGATCGAGACGAGGGAATGAACAGGCAGCTGTCCTACAGAGTAAAAAAGGTAATTCCTCCCACTGGAACAGAGCTATTCGTGCTGGACCGACATACAGGGGAGATAAGACTCACGAACTCCCTTGATTTTGAAGACGCACGCCTTTATGAGATACAAGTGGAAGCGACAGACAGGGGTACGCCTCCCCTTTCGGGGCACTGCAAAGTGGTGGTGGAGGTGCTGGACGTGAACGACAACGCGCCGGAGGTGTGGGTGACGTCGCTGTCGTTGCCGGTGGCCGAGGACGCGCCGCTGGGGACGGTGGTGTCGCTGCTGAGCGTGTCGGACCGTGACTCGGGGTCGAACGGGCGCGTGCGGTGCGCGGTGTGGCCGTCGTCGCCGTTCGGTCTGGTGTCGACGTTCGAGGGCTCGTACTCGCTGGTGCTGCGTGAGGCGCTGGACCGGGAGCGTGTGTCGGAGTACGAGGTGGAGGTGCGTGCGGAGGACGGCGGGACGCCGCCGCTGCGCGCCCGGCGCGCCCTGCGGGTGCCGGTGTCAGACGTGAACGACAACGCGCCGGCGTTCGCGCAGGCCGTGTACACGGTGCTGGCGCGGGAGAACAACGCGGCGGGCGCGGAGCTGGCGCGCGTGTGGGCGCGGGACCCGGACGAGGCGGGCAACGGGCGCGTGAGCTACTCGTTGTGGGAGGGCGCGTCGGCGTCGGGGTCGCGCTCGGCGTCGAGCTACGTGTCGGTGGACGCGGAGAGCGGGCGTGTGTGGGCGCTGCAGCCCTTGGACTACGAGGAGCTGCAGGTGCTGCAGTTCGAGGTGCGCGCGGTGGACGCGGGGGAGCCGTCGCTGAGCGGCAACGCCACGGTGCAGCTCTTCGTGGTGGACGAGAACGACAACGCTCCGTCGCTGCTGCCGCCTGCGGGGGGCGGCGCGGGCCCCTGGGCTGGCGGCGCGGGAGAGTCGTCGTCATCTTCGTCGGGGTGGTCGTTGTGGGCGTGGGCGTCGTGGGGTTCTCCTGCGGGGCAGGTGGTGGCGAAGATCCGTGCGGTGGACGCGGACTCGGGCTACAACGCGTGGCTGCGCTACGAGCTGCAGGAGGCGCGGGGCAAGGGCGCGTTCCGCGTGGGTCTGTACAGCGGCGAGGTGAGCACGGCGCGGGCGCTGGAGGAGGCGGACGGGCCGCGGCAGACGCTGCTCATCGTGGTGCGGGACCACGGCGAGCCGGCGCGCTCCGCCCCGGTGGCCATCTGCGCGGTGTCGAGCGTGTTTCTGCTGGCCGTGGTGCTGTACGCGGCGTCGCGGTGGTCGCCGCGGGCGTCCGTGCTGTCGGGGCCCGGTCCGACGACGCTGGTGTGCGCCAGCGAAGTGGGGAGCTGGTCGTACTCGCAGCGCCAGAGCCGGAGCGTGTGCGTGGCGGAGGGCGCGGGCAAGAGCGACCTCATGGTTTTCAGCCCCAAATTCCCGCCACACGCGGGCTCCGCGCTAAAGGAGACGCCGCAGGATCCCGCTGCTCTCCTGGACACGGTCAGTGACACTTTCTTTTCGAGCCATTCTCACCTTTGGATCTCCCAGACAGTCGTTCTCAGTTTTTGATCGATCCCTTTGATAATTCCTCTTGGATGTGGGTTTTTCCCTCGGTGTCTGTATATGGCCACTAGTTGTTATGTCTTTGATGTCATGCTTTTGGTAAAAACAGTCGCTTGCAAATGCTGTCTTTCTCTTGTTAATGTTGTTCACTTTGGGATTGGATATTCACTTTGTAAAGGAGTCTAACTTCTGGAAGAGGGGAGCGAGAGGATCCCTTCTGTTAAATTCTTCCCTCCTCTTCCCGTGTCACTTTCTCTGGCATGTCGTCTAATTGCGTGTTTTTTTTGTTTTTTTTTTTTTTTTTTTTTTTTTTTTTTTTTTTTTTTTTTTTTTTTTTTTTTTTTTTTTAAACCGCTTCTACAGGGTTATTTATATCCATACTGTTATCCCCGGAATACTTTATCATTAGCATGCCGCTTTCCATTTTTGGAAACAATGTTGTGGGTGCTTAATGCTTCGCCGCTTTTTGGACGAAGAGCTTTCTTTCAGCTTGTAGAGCCTTTAATGATCTTGTGATAGTAATGCCTTAGCCTCTGGATGCGTGAATTTGTGTTATACACAGGGAGGCAGGTGCCAGTGAGTGTTTTTGCCTTCCTTTCGTTTTAGAGCTATGTTCCTGAAAGCGTTTTTCCTGTGGTTGTATCTTTGTTTCTTTTATTATTACTATTGCAATCCATTGGGTTTTTAGATGCATATCCCATTTTTCTCCCTTAGTATCGAACTATCTTATTCACCAGATATTCTCTGTAAGAACAGTTTATCTTCATTAGTTCATGTGTTTCTATCATTTGGTCAAGATCAGCGTGATTAGAGATGTCTTGGCGCCTCTCCTGGTCTTATTCCTGGAACACTTTTTCATAAGTTTTCAAATCCTACAAACCAATACTGCTGCCAAGCAGCTGTCGTTCACCCTTCCAGAGTAGGGTTTCATTCACATAGAATAAAATCAGTGCCACTTGTCATTAGAACTGTTGCCGCATTTCCTTTACACGTAATTGTGTTTATAGATATCTGGTATATCATGCCGCTTTTGGTGCTTGCTTGCAAAGGCTCAATGATCGGGCTTGGAGAATCTTCCAGACACTGCGCATTGGATACAGTGTGTATGTATATATATGACCCTGATGGCTATATCTGCCCAGGAAAGGAAGGCAGAACTGTGCGAGCTCGTTGTGCTCCAGGTATTTCTTGACACTGTAGCAAAGGCCCTGAAGCCTAGCTTTGTCCTGATCTGAAGGGTGACCCTGAGCCTTGTTTGAGAGATGTGGAGTAGTATGATGCATCACGATCCTCTTCCATCCTGGTTGTGCTTGACCACCTCTAAAGACATTCCTGGTGCATAGAACTGGGAGAAAAAGGCAGAGCTCCTGTTCTGTGCAGGGAAGGAGAAAGAGCTTGAATTATGTTTCTGAAGGTGAAGTTTGTCTTTGATAAGGCCTTGATTCCAGAACATTTCTAACATAACTAGTTTTCTTTACAGAGTAGCGCCCGAAACACCATCCCCAATGTAGGTGCAAGACCCTGGTAAGTATGGGAAAGGGAAAGTATGTTGCTCTGTCATGTGGAGAGCATTGTTCGAGGACTTGTGTTCAGTCTCTAGGAACCCTGGTAGAAACTCATCACTCGTGGCTCCTGTATGTGCCTGTTAATGTCTTCCCTGGTGGTAGGCCTTGCTTGATTTCTTGAGAGTACGGATATATGCTCTTATAATAGCTTGGTGGCTGAGGATGTGCATGCATGTACCTGCTGGGACACCATTTCCCCCACTAATACCAGCTGCTTTCTGTGTTGCTAGCCTGATATAAGGGATATTACAATATTTGTGTGCAAGATACAGAATCTTCTACTATGTTGCCAGTAAGATGTTGGAAGGTTTCAGAGACATGCATCAGCAGTGTGGGCACTCTTTTCCTCCTGTACTGAAGTGTGTTTGACCTTGAATGAATTCCCTCAGATTTCAGCTTTCCCTTCTCTCTCTCTTTTTTTTTTTTTTTTTCAGAAAATTACTGATGGGAACATTGTCAGTAATACAGTGATCTTAGAACTTTGACCAGATAAGCATTTTCTCTGCAAGCCCTACTTCTATGGAAGTTATCCTCGTTCTAGATTGCTGGGAAATTCCATTACAACTGCTTCAGAAGTAATATCCTTTTTCCTTTTTTTTTTTTTTCTCCTCCTCGCTGTGATGTCAAACTGCAGCCGAGGATGGATGATGTGCCTAACAGGCAGGTGCCTCTCCGTTCTGTTTTAAGTCTTCTGATCTTTAACTTGAATGGATGCAATGCCACCTGGGTGATGCCTACAAATTTGACCCAGCCGGCGGCACTTGTGAGTGATCTCAGGCCTTCCACATGGCTTCCTGGCACAGTGTAAGGTGGGAGAGAGCACTTGTGGTTGAACAGGGAGGGTGGTTCACGCCATTTATATCTGTGGATGTGATATGAGTGTTCGTGGATGTTTCCCATGAAAATGCAGTAGGGTTACCTTCATGGCTTCTGCTAGGTTTTGAGGCAGGTTGATGATGACATTAATGAGTGTGAGACAATCCGTGGAAACTAATTCTCGTATAGGTACCGGGTTCTGAACTCCTGGCACTGTCGTTTTATGTGTGGATGCCTGCCTGGAATGCTAAACTGGAGCTGGAAATGAATCATATCTTCCTGGAAATGAATCATTTGCACTTCTTCCCTGTGCAAAAGGAAGAACACTAGATCTCTAGTCTTTCCCTAAATTCCCTACATTTTTTTTCATTGCTCTCTGAAGATTTTCTTGTTGATGCATGTACACGTTGTTCTCCAGAAGTAACGAGTTCCTGGCATTGCTAGAAACATCCATGGGGACCGTGTGTGAGGCTGGTTGGCTGGTAAAGGGTGGATGATTCTGTGCTGGCTGTTCCTTGTAGACATGTTCCTTGTGATACGCATTCCTTGGTCTGTGCTATACTTTACAATGATGAAGAGAAGTGCATGAAACTGCCGAACCACATATGTTTCTCGGAGTCAGCCTTGCAAGAAGGAACGATCTGTGCCTGCTGTTAGCAGTGATCATTCAGAAATCATTCTCCTGTGACTATATGCATTGTGCAGGCCTTAGTCTTTGTTGTGGATGGAGGCTGAAGTTTCTTCCAGAATACGTGCTGAAGTGCAGGTGCAGACGCTCTTTTTTTTTTTTTTTTTTTTTTTTTTTTTTTTTGCAAGGCCTTTCAGTAACCAGGAGATCTATGCCTGCTGAGCAAAGAGGAATGAGCATAAGCTACGGAGGGAAGAAGGGCCTTCCCCTGTGTGCTACATGCTGCAGTGACTCTTGAGGCCACCCACTCACGCAGAAAGAGGGAGAGAAACTTCCCTGACAATCACTTCTCGAGTGTCCTTCAGAATCCTCAATACTCAGGACATCGTGTATGACATGATGAGGAAGAGGCAAGACCAATTTTGCCTGAAGTTCTGCACGTGCTTCATGTCAAGAGTGGCATTTATACTTAGAAAACACTTTGGAAAAGGGAAGAAAAAAGGAGGACAAATGGCGAGAATAAAAATGGGATGTGAAGAGAATGAAGGAGACAGAAGGGAAGGACTAGTGAATGGAGGGAAAAGCAACATGGGGCAGAGAAAGAAAAGAACTCACCAGCGAGAATCGAGAGAGGTTTGCATGGGAGGAAGACAAGACGAAAGAGGGCGATTTTTCTCGTGCTCCCTTCTTCTCGTGAGTCCCTTCTGTTTTTTGGCTCATCGTGCCCCTCTCGCAGAGGAATCAGGCGAGGTAATTAAATCTATACATACAGAATCCATTAAAATATTGGAGTAAGACAAGGTAGCAGTTCCATCGTTTCTGTTCCCTTAATCGTGCAGAATATGCCCCCTGTCAATGTTTTCCTGAACTCCGTTGCAGCAGGTACCAGAGGTCTTACATAACTTCCAGTCCTTCCACATCGGCTAACATGCAAAGAAGCAAATAATATCAATACTAATACCATATGTTTCCTGTGAATTAGTGTAACAAGCTCGTAAAGAGCAAGAGCCTGAAATGTGTGACTAGAAGCGAGGCGTGCGGTTGAAAAAAAATCTTGTTCCGGGGAAGGTGGAATATCCCGGAAGAAGTCTCCCATCCGTGGCGGGGTTTCCGTTGTAAATTACCGAGCAGAGAAATCCGCATCGTGTAAGCCGAGAGGTGGAGAGGTCAGCAGGAGCGCGGGTGCTGGAGCGGCGGTGCAGGATCGTGTCGCAGCCAGGGGTGGCTCGGGGCGGCGGGCGCCGGTGCCGGTTGCGGCGGTCCCACAGCTGCCATTCGGAAGGAGGCGCCTCCGTCGGCGCGTGTGAGGCAGCGGGGCACACGGTGTCGCTGCAGGCTCAGAAACGGCGGCGTCCGCGTCGGCTCCGCCCCGGTGCGGCGGAAAGCCCGGCTGTGAGCGCGGGGGGAGCGTGAGGCCGCGGGCGGCGGTGCAGGGAGCGGCGGCGGCGAGCGGCGTGGGTGTCGGGGAAGCGCGCGGGGCCGGTGCGGGCCCGGCGCTGGCCATGGGCGTGTGCGTGCGGTCCGCGGCGCGGGGGCTGGTG